AAAAAAAAAAAAAAAAAGATGAATGGATGGATATATATTTGTTACTATATGGATCTCGGTAACATACATGTGTATAGCTGTTACCGTGCGGCTTCATCCGCAAGGAATTAAGAAAATTTTATTTTATTGTTTATATTTGTCAAATTATCAAAATGACATGACATGACAAACCTTGACAGTCTTGTTTCCTTGATGTTGGCAGCAACTTTGGTCTCTTTCTCACATTAGGGTTTTTATCCAAAAACATTTACCCCCTAAGTCTAATGGCGTGAGAATATATAACCTAAAGCGTGACGTAAGTGTAGGGATTTTCATTAAACAAAGAATGATTCAAAAATATGTAATTGCTGACATCTTAGGCAACAAAGAAGTGTGTGTTTACGCTTTATTATATTAGTACAGATATGTTTTTTAAATTCCACGCGGACAATGACGCAGGCGAAAGCTAGTATGGACATATAATTTTTCATTTCTATAAAATCCAACTATAAATTAAATGTTTTTATTTCCAGTATAAGAATATTACCTCATCATCAAGATACGGGTGGATTCTTCGTTGCTGTATTCGAGAAGACCGGTCTACTCCCCTGGGAGAAGACCGTCGAAGAAAAGACAGACACAGAGATTAAAGAAGACAAAAAAGAACCACCGATAAAGAGAAGAAGAATGGGTGGATATAGAGAGGATCCTTTTGTATTCTTCTCCGGTGATGATGAAGATGTATTTCCTTCTATCAAAGAGTATTACGATTTGAAAGAAGATTTTGATTCTAAATGTCTTTTAACGAGATGTCATGTTGGGAAAAAGAAGAATATATATTTAGTGTCAAATATAGTGAAAGATGTTGTGCAGAAGAATGAGGGTAGTTTGAAGATAATTAATACTGGAGTAAAGACGTTTGTTAGATGTGATAATAAGAATATGACCTGCCCTTTCAGGTAAGGCTTAAAAATCTAGATTATTTAGCTATAGATAGTCTTAAATTTTTATAATAGTAGTAATTTTCGTAAAGTAATTGTAAAAAAATCTTAGTATGTGTCCTTTCAGACTATTTTACTTGTGACAAGTTTCATCAAAATCCATTTAGCCTTTTTGGAGATATGAAAAAACAACATCCATCCATCCAAATTTACAACAAAATGCACATTTGCTTTATATATGTAATTCTGTTAACTTAATCTATACTTAAGGCTTTAAGATTCCATTAGTAGAAGATTCTTACTAATGTAAACGTGAAAGTTTGGATGTATGGATGGAGTTTGTAGCCTAAACTACTGAACGAATCTCGAAATTAACCACAAATGTAGATAGGCTGGAAAACATAGGCTTTTGATCCCGGATATGTTTACAGTTCCCGTGGGATATATTAATTCTGTTTTTTTCTTAGTTATTCAATAATCATAGTTCCTAAACATTAGTAATATTAAAATATAGCCTATGTTACTCACAGATAAATTACCCTTCTGATGGTGAAAGAATTTTTAAAATCAGTCCAGTAGGTTTTGCGTGAATCAAATACATAAATCTGTCCTTTTTATAACTATATATATAATTATTAATAGTTCCTAAACATTAGTAATAATAAAATATAGCCTATGTAACTCACAGATAAATTACCTTTCTGATGGTGAAAGAATTTAAAAACGGGCCCAGTTGTTTTTGAGCTATACATACAAAAATACAAAGTTTACCTCTTTATAATATTAATATAGATAATAGATTAAGCAAAGGTTCAAATTTTTAATTTCAGATTATCACAAGAAGGGTTACATAGTATATTACAGTATATAGGACCTGCTCGAAAAGTGAACATTTTAAAGGAAGACCTTATCCTTGTGCTGCAGAATGATAATCCGAGTAACCCACCTGATATTAAATTATTCTCCGAACATACACAGAGTTTGGTTAAAGATTTAGGTGAGTATCTATTTAGTTGTACTGTTTTTTAATTGTCTTATGTTAAAGAATTCAATTTGTGTACTAGCTTTTGCCCTCGACTCCGTTCGTGGTATAAATTAACAAAAGTTAGCCTATGTGAACACACAAAAAGAACTTTCAGACTATCTATATTCAAATTTTATTGAAACTAATTCAGTAGTGTAGGCTACAAACTAACAAACAGCCATCTTAACTTTCATTAATATTACTAGCTGTTGTTAGCGACTTTGTCCGCGTGAAGTAAATGTAGCCAATGTTACTCACTTAGCTTTTTAATGGTGAAAGAATCTCTGAAATCGGTTTAGTAGTTTTTGAGTTATATCAATACATATAAAAATACAATTCCTCTTTATATTAGTACTAGTTTCCGTGCGGCTTTATTAAATTATGAAAAATTTCGTTTATTGTTAACATCTGTCAAACTATCAATTACAAATGTCAAAATGACATGACATGACAACCTTGCTTCCTTAATGTTGGCAGCGACTTATGGTCTCTTTCCCACATTAGGGTTTTCATCCAAATTATTTACCCCCTAAGTTTAATGGCATGAAAAAATATAGCTTAAAACGTGACGTAAGTTAAGAGCTTTTTATTAAAGAATTATTCAAAAATATGCTGTAGTTGCTTATCTTAGGCAACAAAGAAGTGTGTGTTTACGCTTTATTATAATAGTATAGATAGTAAGATTATGATATAAAAACATTTTTTTCTTTTAGCAACCGGTAGCTGTATCTTAGAATACCAGGATACGGAATCTCAGCTGCGACTAACACTAGTTGGTTGGCGCGGCGTGCACTCCCTGCGCGCCTACACCGCCACGCCCGACACCGTGCACTGCCTGCGTCTGCTCGGAGCTGATTATAGTAAATACGGTAAGTACAGTCGCGGCAATACGCACTGCTACATTTACGGTACAGGGTCATCTACCCTATATTATCCTACTCCTGTGTCACCGGTACAATAAGAGGAATGATTTATATGTCTGCAAATAACTTAAAAACCACTCAGCCGATATCAGCAGTTTATTTCAGTTACTTTTATTGTTTTTATAATTTCACGCAGGCGAAGTCGCGAGCAACAGCTAGTTCTTTATTATATTAGTATAGATTACTATTTGATCCCGTGCCGCTTGATCCGCATATTATAGACTTTATTTTATTACATTTCGTTAAAATTTTCTTTGTAAATGTCAAAATTTAAATGCTTAAATGACAACGAAAGTTAATATTGGTTAACAATTATCGTTACGTCGCTGCCTTGCTTCCTTAATATTGTCAGCATGACGGTTTTTTACAAATTATTTACACCCAAAGTTTAATAGCGTGAAAATATATAGCCTAAAGCGTGTCGTAGAATTTTTATTAAGAAATAATAATTCAACAATATGCTGTTGCATACTACATAACAAAGAAGTGTGTTTACACTTGATTATATTAGTTTAAATATAGATTATTGCCCGCGACCCCGTCCGCCTGGAATTGAAAAAAAAAAACAAAAGTATGTAGCCTATGTGTTCTTCCAGACTGCCCTCTACATATATACCAAATTTCATCGAAATCCGTTCAGCAGTAGGCAAACTCTAACAAACATCCATCCATCTAAACTTTCGCATTTATAATATTAGTATGATTTCTTTAATTCCAGACGTGAACAAATTCAAAAAGGCGTCCGACGTGCCCGATGTAACGAAAACTGATGACGTCACAGAGCCGCAGTCAAACAAAACTGAACCTAACGATGACACGAATAATGTTGATATTTCAACAAAATCCAGTATGGATACGTAACATTTTATCAAACGTAAAATTTAAATGCAGTGACACTTGTCTGTCTCTTTCTTCTGTCCAAGAGAAGGAAAGAGATGTCAATATGTATAAACTGTATGCAGTGAATTTTTACGGATATTGTAACTTATAATTTAAGAATATATTATTGACATTGATGGTGTTGTTTTATTTTAAAAAAAAGCAGTCAACTCTCCATTCCCTATAAAAATGTGGTATAAAAAAGTAATACGACCAAAAAGATCAAAAAATATATAGATTAAGCGTAGTTGACACTTCACTTGAAATATTTTCACAATCTCACGTTACCTGAGGGTCCGATAGTCAAAATCACAATGAAATCTATAAAAAAAAAAACAAATTATTATAAATCGACTAAGCTTTTCGAAAAGAGATTACGCAACTTATACATAGGGTTATTTATGAAAGCTGTTCCCGTGCAAATTCATCCACATGAAATTATAAAGACGTTATTTTTGGTTAATATTTGTCAAATTCTCATTTGGAAACGTCAAAATTACCGTTATACCATAGTAATAGTAACCTTAAACATCGTATACATCGCTATTGACTATTATGGTACAAGTACGAGTATAAAATGGCAAATCCAGTAATGAGTGTACACAACAATTTGTGTCAATTCAATCCAATCCATGCCAGTGCTAGGCCAGTACCACTGCCTATTTTTAACTAGGTTTTATTGTTGTTTAGGGTTATAATGTGGGCCGATCCCGGCGGCACTGCAATGCCGGGCCGACCCGTGACGGGAGTGGAGCGAGCCCCGAACATCCCGTCGTTTTACAAAAATCAGTTTAATATACTGGTCCCGCAGTGCGGGAACTTTCAGATATTAAGCTGAAAAGAACAGATACTACACTTTGATCTTAGCCAAAAGGCCGAGAAGCGATAACGGAATTTGTCCACACGACGAAAGTCACTCAGTCTGCGTGAAACTAGACATCGCAATCTAGATATTTTAAAGAAAATTTGAACGCCATCTATCGGTAGAATAGCCAAACACGTAATGTGTTTCTGACATCTTACGCCATGAAGTAGTGTGTTTACGCTTTACAAAATTAATAAAATAAAATGAAATAATAGTATAGATAAGTAATAAGTATAGGTATAGAAATATTAGTATAGATATAGATTAACAACAAAATAGTGAATAAAATTAAGTTCCTGAGTTTCAAATTAGTAATTTTGAATTAAATTGACTAAGGTGCACGTAATTTTGATCATCAATATCATAAAGCTTGAGCAATGGTCATTTCGCTATTTTCGCTAATTCGTTGCTAATTGCTTGTTTGTCATAATACTAATTTTATAAATGCGAAAGTTTTGATTGATGGATGAATGTTTGTTAGCGTTTGTAGCCTAACCGGTTATACGGATTATAATGAAATTTGGTATATATGTAGAATATAGTCTGGAAGAACACATAGTCAACTCATTTTTGATTTTTATAATTCCACACGAACGGAGTCGCGAGCGAAAGCTAGTATTATAATAAAATTATGTAATTGACGTAGAAGTAACTAGTAGAAAGGCATAGACAAAAATAAATAAACGATTCTCACATTTAAAGTTGCTTTATTCATGAAACCATTTTTAAGTTCGCAACATGTACATATTTAACAAAACAATATCATACGTAAAATTACAGTACAAACAAAGATAATTAAATTGACAATTATTGCAACAAAAAAACAACGAGTATACCCGAAATATCTATAACTAACCAATAACTAATTTCAGTTTTACATTGTCATAACCTAAAAACATTTAATTACACAAAGAAAACATGTAACATATACAATAATAGAACAAACTTTCGAATAGTTGAGTCGTAGAGTGCAAAAGTTACTAGGTTTTGTTAACTGATAGTGCACACGGCTTTTTCCCCTTTAAATTGACTGTTTTAGTTCAATTTTTGCTGTAAAAATATATTAAATAATGCTTGCTGTGTGTGAAAACTAAACATTTCTATTGAGATAATCCAAGAACTTAGGCAGAATGTCTGGTTGAAGCTCGAAGAATATATTTGAAGTTAAGAAAAATATAACCTCAAAGTTGCACAAATACGATGCATTTTTTTCATTGAAATACAAAAAGTATATTGGACTGATCTTCAAGATATTGTTAATATGGATGTCGAGTCGACATTGGCGACTGACATGCACTTGTATTTATAAATATTCCCTTAGGGCCTGTCCCACCAAATTGCAAATTGTCTGATAACAATCCTACGTGTAAAATATGTGATGGAAATATCGGGTTTTGTTCCCTTATCTGACAGTTACATATGTCATTTTTAAGCTATCTGAGCCTCTATCAGCCAGTGGTGGGAAAGGTCCTAAGTTTTGTCGATGAGAATGTAATTCCAACGGTATTTAAATTTTAGAGTACTGTTAAATGTAGTTAGTAAACATTTTTGTTTTTTAAAACCAACGTTTGTTAAGCTTAGCTATTTGTAAAGCACTTGTATAAACTCGTATTTTTGAGCGTTTGAAATGGATTTTTACATGTTCCATTATTTATTTATTTTTGGTTTATTCTTTTTAATGTTTTATAGTAAATATTCGTAGTTGTCCAATTAATTTCAACATTGTTGAGCGGTTTATTTAGGATTTGTTTGTTTATTAAAAAAAAACTTAAATAAATAGTGAGTACATTTCCAAAAGTTTTTTCGGTTTTAATTCGTGATTTACATCTTAATATTATTATCAAGATATTTATATATAGTAGTTAAATAGATATTAATTAATTTGGAAAGGCATTGTTTATAATATATAAATTATTTGTATAAAAATATTTTACAATATAGATATAACACAAAAAATATAAATATAAAATATTATTAACTAGTTTAGTTAATAACAGTCAAATGGATTTTTATATGAATTTCCTATTACCTAAAATAATATAAACTAAACCTACATAATGGTATTTTTTTTTACTTTGTAAATGTATCTTACGTTACATTATAAAGTAAAAATTTATATTCATAGTTACATCTTACCTAAACATTCTAATTAGAGTATCATAAATACTTATTTTAGTTTTATATTTTTAACTTAATAGATAATTCCAATATTTTTATGTACAAACGGCAATTATCCGAGTTCTAAGTCTTAAAATTATGTTATCATGAAATGGCAACACTAAAAAGTACAATTGTTAAAGTAATTTATTTGTAATGTTACTGGCTGGTGATATTATAATATCTATCAAATCATTAACCGTGGGTCTCCAATGCTAAAACTCAAACAAAACATTAAAATAATTTTAAAATTGACTCTTAAGAGTGAAAACCAGAGACATTATCTTTTGTTTTGTAGTGACAAAAACTGGGTGTATTTAATGTTGCCACACTCATGTTTCTTATATCTACTTAATATTATTTATTATCTAAACCATCAACAAAAGACCAATCCTTTTCAATACCAGTACCAATATATTCCGACCCGATATCACAGCGGTGATGTGGATTTTATTTATTCTAATTAATTATATTTTTAATCTATTACACAGATGAAGTTATAGGTTAATGGCAGAATAGAAGAAAACATTGTGTTTAAGGCAAAGTGAATTTAATCTACTTAATATTATGAGTGGGAACTGTCGTAATATTACTATCTCTTTCATTCTCATTGAAATTCAAAAACTCGTGACGTCACGCGTTAGCAAACAATATTGAGCAGATGAGTCGTACGCGGTCAATGTTAGTGGAAGGTAGTGTTTTTTGCGTGCGGCTAGTATGTACACTATAATTCTTAAAATACTTCTAAAACATAATTCTAGTAAGAATTTTCAATCATTATTTCTACAATTTTTGAAAGGACACTGTTGTATTGTGTGATTAGTTGACGCTGGCTGTTTCAAACGAAGTAAACATAACACCTCTGATTTCAAATGTGGTGATATTTAACGTCGACCCAATATCTACTTATCAGTATAAGAATCAAAGGAAAATACTTATTTAGTTTTTTTATGACGTGATACAGGATGGATTCATATTTTAGATTCATACTTTAGGGGGGGATCCAAAATTTCGATAATATGGACTTTAGTTTTACTAAAAATACTGGACTTGTTAAAAAAAATATAAAACTTAGACGGAGTATTTTAATTTTAGGTAAGATTATTCTCAAATGTGTTATATTTGGGATCGGATCGTTTTCTTTTCTCTCGTGTAGTTTGGACGCTGTCGATATCTCGTGTTGGAGGCCAAGACCCACTTTGGGTCGCTGCGCCAACGTAGTAAGTGTTATTTGAGCGTAAATTTAACCAAAATATTGTTGAAAAGTTGTTGTTTGTTGTTAAAATAGGATCTAAAAGCAGTATTAAAATATTTGCACCTATTGTTTAATTATAGTGATATTTACAAATCCAAATCTTAAAGGCTTTTTATTTATAGTAAAAGGGGGCAAACGAGAGGACTAAGAGGACTTTTTCGTTCTATTTAGCAATAGTTTAGTCGGATTTTTTTTTAGTTAAATTGAAATGATACTACCATAATATGCAAACTAATAAACTCTACAATCTTACTAATAAACTCGGTATAAAGTTAAACTTAGGAATAAACTGAGTATAAATAAAATTTGTACTAATATTTGCTTATACTCAGTTTATTCCTAAGTTTATTTTTATACCGTTTATTTCTAAGGCTGTAAGTTACTAGTAATATTTTTTTATGCTATAACTAGTCGTTTCTATAATCAAATTCAATGGAAAATAAGAATATTTACACGTCTAGGTTGGATTTATTTTGGAGTGTGTAAATTTATGATGCAAATGTCTGTTCTTTGTAATTCTGTGATTGGACAAATAAAGCTAAAATTGTTTAGATAAACTTATTACTATATATTCCATTGATTCGACTTCTTCTTCTTAAGGGGCGGTTACGGCAAATTGCGCATATTTGGAGGCATAGAACAAGATTTGATTCGTGATATTTTAGTATGTGTAACTTCAGTCCTTTAACTAAAGGCTCGTGGAACAGTATCACGATTGGACAAACTTTTCTCGATAGATTTATTTTTTGAATATGTGCCTAATTCTGTAAGGATCACTATATATCTGCAATACAACAACGAAAGTAACAACTCGAAGTGGTTTATTTGATACACGAGTACTTTATCTTCCGTTAACCCGAAGCTTTTTGCGATACATTGATTAGTTGTCCAAATTTGTCTTTATCTCTTGCCTCGAAACAGTTGGGCGAAACTCGCAATTGAATTCGACTTTACGTATGTTATTAGTAGTAATAAGAAATATTGCAAGGTATAATTACAATTTGAATGCCACTGGTCCTTGCGAACTGACTTTTGGATGTAAAGTCGTGGCCGTGTTGTTAATAAAAAGTTTATTATACTAAGAATGGAATTTAAAACCTTATAAATATAACCTAATTTACGATTATCTACTAATTTATGTGTCTAATATTTACACACTACAACAGCATGCTCAGATTGTCGATTTTTTTATTTATATGTACAGTAATTTGTTACTTAACTACCCTTAATAATTTATAAACCTACATTTGAACTAAAATCCATTTGACTAAGACATCATAAGAATAAGTAATAGAAAAAAATCAATCAGATAACTAAAGAAACTTTGTAATTGTTAATATTTTTTATAATAGTATTAGCAAAGTGTCCAAGCGGCCCGAAAAGATTATTATTCCACTAGAAAAATCTATAGTAATTCCAAGATTATTTCAAAATACAACACAAGTAACTCATATATGTAAAAAGTTATTAAATCTATCTATCTTTTGTGATAATGGCGTTTCCTTAGAGATTTCGCAAATGTCACTTATATTAAATTATCGATAGATCGTAACGATATTAAAATTCCTAACTTTGACATATGCCATTTGTTTAGATCTTGGTTCGTTTGACAACTGACATTAGGGTTTTTACCGGCAATCGGCACAGAACAATCCTTTGTATGTACTGTTAGGAATAAAATTAGTACCGTGGTATAGAATTGGCGCAACTCTAGATTATCGGCATAAACGTCACGTCCCTAGCTGACAGCTGTCAATGTCGCTAGAAGTATGGATAGATTGGCGCGCAACCTGAGTCTTGACGAGAAGTATTGCTCTGAGTTTAAAGCGACAGTATCAATTAAATTAGTTGTATAATAGTACATGGTTATCGGTCATCGGTTTTGAAGATATTTTTATTTGCTAAATGTTGACACTAATTCTTTATATTACTTATTCCTTTTAATTAACATAAATCCCTATTACTATTATAGCAAAAGTAATTAGAAAAAAAATAAAAATAAAATATTCACAAATGTTCAATTTATAAATTATAAACAATGCCATTGGTCGAAGCTAAGCCAAACGATACACTGTTTGTCATTTTGCTTTCTTAAATGCATAATAATAGCAATTGTTCTTAATGTTAAATTAACGAAACGTTGTAAATTCATTTTTGTTTTAGTCTTTTTCAATTGTTTGGTTTAATTCTTTTGTGGTATTAAGAAGAAATTGTGACAAATTAGGCATTAAGCGTTGTCAAAGACGGAATGCATAATCTTTGGACGGTCGAACCACGGACCAACAAGCTGTGCTTTACTTTTTTCATTTTAAATTAACCAATGGACAGTTTGAATTATTCCTTATGTATTAAAATATTTTATTTAAATTGAGTAGTAAAAGCAAGTTTGCAGATTTTTGGAGGGAGTAAAATATGCCAATGCAATAATTATAAATAACTTACGGAATTACATTATTAATATTATCAAATAAAAAAGTAACATTTGAATGACAACATGACAAAGTAACGCTACGATCTACAACGAAATAACGAAAAAATATTTGGCTATATTATCTACCAGTTAAGAAATACGATCTAAAAACTAAATAAATGCCTTTGTAGAACTTAAAATACTTAACAAACTTAAGTTTTCCTGTAACACATTCTTGTCAATTAGAACAAGCTTGTAAAGTTAGTTAGAACATTTTTCATCTTTGAAAACAAAGTAAAAATGCCAGTAAATTAATATTTCACTTATTTAAAATGTTAAAAACATATAAAACTGATAAATACACAATATCCGACGTTTTCATATTTAGTTATAATAATTTTATCTAACTTAAAAGTAAATACTGCGCAAGACAGTAGTAAATTTTCAAATTATTTACCATCACGATTGTGCAGAAGAAATTGTTTTACACAAGACAAGAAATTATTATTTTCGCTTAAATTCTTTAATACCTAAATTGTAAATTGCAAAAGTGTAAATAAATAACCAATTGAAATATGAAAATAATCTAAATAAATGTAATAATTTTAGAACAATCTTACGATATAAGCTAAGTGGGCGTGAGTCTCGGGTTTCGCGGGCATTGCATGAGATGGCGCTGCCAGGGGAGGTCCCGCGCGAGTACGTTTGTCAAGCAGTATGGACACTTCCATTCATCCAAGCCCAGTGCTGAAAAAATCGGTAAGGAATAGGTTTAAAATCAAGGAAAAATCGTCTTAAGGCGGTATACGATTATTATAATTACACTAGCTCTTGCCCATGACTTCCTCCGCGTACTTTAAATCTACGTCTGTGCTAAATTTCATTGAGATCCATTCCCGTTCAGCAGTTTAGGCTAGAAACTCTAACAAACATTCATCCACCTAAATTTTCGCATTTATAGTATTAGTAAAAAGTCAGATATTTGAGAGTTTAATGTCTAATAAAGTTAATAATTAAATAAAAATATTCTATAGTTAAATTTTTGGTGGTTAC